CAATGGATTTCTTACTTCTGCCACAAATTTCCCCAGCTGTAAGCCTTCCAACCTTCTAAATATTCCTTTATATGTGGTTCAGAGTTCTGAGACCATACCCTGAGCCTTTTGGTCAGGTATTCTGTGTTGTTTCTGGTGGAGGTCTTCCACCCAATCTGCCATCTTGTTTTTGGAAAAAGAGCACAACTTTTGACTCCGTAACATATACAAAGTTTTTCATTGAAACTATGGTGTCGTCGTTGTTAGGTGCTGTCAAGTCCATTCCAACACATAGCAACCCCAGAGGATGCAGAACTACTCAAGTCAGTAGGGTTTTCAAGGCCATAATCTCTATGGAAGTTAGCTGCACACATCTTTCTCTTACAGTGTTGGTGATGGATTTGAACCGTGACCTTTTGGTTAGCAGCTGAGTGCTTAATCACTGCACCATCAGGGCTTCTTCTCTAGCAAACAACTTGCTACAGAGTCAGAAAAATTATAGCTTTTGGTGGTGTTATAGGTAGAATATCTAGCTAGGATCCTAGATGAACAAAGTTAGTTCTGTATTTTAATAAAATATACACTATCTGAAGTGCTCAAATGGTCACCTGGAGTTTTCTTGGGTTAACATTCTTTGCTTATGTTAAATATTATTTCAATTAGAGTTTTTTCATTCAGGCATTGATTTGTGAACTCCAGGTGTGGTACTATAGAATCAGCACTGGAAGATCAAACTCACCAGCTACTCCTCAGAAACACTATAAGTTGGCACTGACTTAGCAACACTTAACAATAACAATAACACCTGCCTTAAAGGACTTCTGGTGTAGCGCTGTAGGATCAGCGCTGGACTGCGAACCACAAGGTCAGCAGGTCAAACCCATCGGTTGCTCCTTGGAATCCCTATATAGGGTTGATATGAGTTGGAACTGACTCGACAGCACTTAATAAAAGCAACAACAAAAATGATTATCAAGCATAATAATTAGATATTTGTATGATGGGAAAGGGCCCCAGTGTGGCGCTGTAGAGAAAGCACTAACTGCTAACCTCAGGGTTGGTGGTTCACACGCATCAGCTTCTCCTCAGAAACTCCCTACAGGATCACTGAGAGTCGGAACATGCTCAGTGGCACTTAACAACAACAGCAACGATGGGAAAGAGTTACCTGGGCTCAGTCCTTGAGCTCTACTTTAGGCATTGTTAGTTGTATTTTTAAAATTGAATATCTGAAGTATGATTTTTTATACACTTCATTATAAAATAATTTCATACTCATAGTATCATCCCTTCCAACTCCCAACAGAATTCTTTAGAAAGCTAAGGATAAAATGTAGAGAAGGAAGCAGAGTTCCCTTTCTTCTCTTTTGTTATCTGTAGTCAGTGGAATGTATCATGCTGCAAAAGCCTGTTTTCATGAATAAAACTAAAATTATCATTTGAAAAGTTTAAAATGAGAATTAAATTAATTAAACGAAGTTCATGATTTTACTTATTCATTGGATAAATTGTCCTTTGAAAGGTTTCAAGTACTTTTCCTTGAACACTTTTATTTTGGCCAATGTATAGCTTTGTTTTGATATTGCATACCTTGTACATCAAGTCAAATAGAAAAAAATTAAGTTTCTTAGAATTCTATCTAGAAACATAAGTATGTTGTTGTTATCAAGTGCTGTTGAGTCGATTCTAACTCATAACGACCCTTTATGGAGTTTCCAAGGGGTGACAGGTAAGTTTGTACTGCTAACCTTGAGGTAAGCAGTCCAATGCTTACCAGGACTCCAAAGACATAGTATACATGTTAGGAATTTGCATGATCTTTGAAGTAAACAAATGTACTTAATGAATTGTGAAATATCTGCACAACTTACTCTGTTATTCAGGAAATAACTTATTGAGAACTTCCTATGTGCATTGGGAAGTACATTCCAAGCTGATGGGATATCAGTTGTAAAAGTTCTGAGAGAATGTCCTTTGTTTGAAGAACTGGAGAAATCATCAGTGATTTGGGATATGTGAAGTTTGAGATGCCTGCTAGACAGTTAGATATGTATTTTAGAGCATGGGGGAGAGCCTGGAACCAAAGATACCAATTGTTGGCTTATTGATGGTATTTAAAGTAAGGTGAGATGAGATCACATTTTTAAAATTACATACAGATGCAGAATATATTGAGATTGGAGAGATGAGTTGGAACCCAAAGAATGAGACTTAGCAGGAGTAACATACAATTAAAACAAAAGAAAAGAAAACAAAAAATCAGTGGATTCTTGGTGTCCAGGAAAGCATTTGAAGAGAGTGACTCATGGAGGGAGCAGTAACTGTGTCCAATGCTGCCCGAGAGACAATAGAACTGAGAGCTGAGACCCAACCACAGGATTTGTCAGTGTGAAGGTCATTGGTAACATGGACAGAAACAGTTTCAGTGATGGGCAATAGACAGAAACAGATAGAAGGGGAGGAGAGGATTCGAAGACATGGAGGATTATAGCAGCTCTTTCAAGGAATTTTAGTGCAAAAAGAAGCAAAAAATAGATTGGAAGCTAGAGATGGAAAGATAATTTATTTTTGTTTGATCTGGTTTGGTTTTTGTTTTTGCTAGCTACTGTTGAGTTGGCCATCAAGTCATGGCAACGCATGCACAATGGAAAGTAGCACTGCCCAGTCCTGTGATAATCAGTTGTGATTCATAGAGTTTTTCATTATTATAAATGGGTGGGCATATAGCATGTTAAATGCTAATAGGAAAGTCCCAGTAGAGAGGGAATAATTAATGATGCAGGAGTGAAAGGAGAGATTTACTAGAGTGAGCCCTCATGTATGAAGATGGAAGAGATCTGGTGCCTAGGAGGAGGTGGCATTAGAGGTGGAAGGGAGCAAGGAAGGTTCATCTCCAGTCACAGGAGAGAGGGCAGAAGTCACGGTGCAGGCGCTAACAAAGGATAGAGCTGGTGGTGGAAAGCAGTCTCTTGGCTACTTCTGTTTTCTTAGAAGCATCATTACTGAGATGTGAGCTTGGAAGACGTTATTTGCAAGTTTGAGCAGTGAGGAGAAATGAAAGTTACCCAAGATGATGCGGTCCTGGTGTGGCACTGCAGGTTAATGCTCTGGACTGCAAGGTCGGTTTGAACCATAGGTAGGGTCGACAGGTCTGAAATGACTGGACAGCACTTAAAAACAACAAGATGTGAGCGGGGGAGAGATACTGAGATATTGGCTAGCACAGGGGTTGTTGAACATCATGTAAAGCAAGCTATTTTGAAGTTGTTGTTTGTTAATGTCATCGAGTCAATTCTGACTCATAGCAACGCTGTATAGGATTTCCAAGGAGCAGGTGGTGAATTTGAACCTCCGACCTTGTGGTCCAGTGCTTTATCCCACAGCACCACATCAGGAATCCTTTTTGAAGTTGGTGGTCATGAATTTAAAGTGAGACCAGTCAACATGGCTAGTTTTTTCAGCCATCTTCAAGGGAGCGGATATGGAAAGCTGCCTTTAACTGAAGTTGTTTTGCCAGTCAGGTGTGACAGTGTGAAAGAGGGCTAGTGGTGACTGGGGGTTGTTGTTGTTAGGGGGTGTTGAGTTGGTTCCAACTCATAGCAACCACAATAGACTGAAACACTGCCCGGTCCTACGCACAGTGGCAGCAGCAATTGGCTCAAATAGGACTTGGGGTAGGATGCTTGAATTATTAGTGGGATAGATGGGTTGAGGTTTCGGAAATGACAGTATGTAGCGTCTGACCTCAGGAGTGGGTGATGAGTTCCATATGGGAAATGAGGGCTGACCCAGGAATGTGGGGCCTTTCATAAGTGACATACACATCTGAAAGGCTTACTGAGCTTGTCTTAGTAAGACAGGTAAGCTAGGGGTCCAGACAGTGAGGGTCAGGAGGGTGATGGACTCCCTCTTCTTCCCCACAGGTAAAGACTTGGGAAGGAGCTGGTTTTGGGGTTTTGTGGGGTTTTTTTGTTGTTTGTGTGTGTGTGTGTGTGTGGCTGTCTTTTAAATCTTGCCCTCTTTCTAACTTTATAGATCATTAGTAATTATCAGCACTTTAGATGGAAGAATTGCTGCTTTGGATCCTGAGAACCATGGTAAAAAGCAATGGGATCTGGACGTGGGATCTGGTTCCTTGGTTTCATCCAGCCTTAGCAAACCAGAGGTAAGAATTTTCTATTACATGCTGACTGGAAAATGTCATTAAAATGAGCAGTTGCCAAATTACATCATTACATAACTGTAAAGCTGATAAGAATCATAGCCTTAGCAGTCATCCATCACAGCCAGTCCTGTTCATTAGTCTAGCCTGGCACCTCGATTTTTGTTACTGCTAGACGTGTGTCATTAATGAACACAATAGTTGGAGTTGCCAGGAGTCAAAATATACTCAAAAGCAACTAACAACATACTGGAAATATCTTCTGGGAACAGTGAACTTCCAGTTGTATAATGAATTTATTAATACAAGCAGCAATTTAGAGGTTAAATGACGTTAAACAATTTGATATCAGGTATGGTATGTAAATGAGTTATTACCCAAGCTAAACTTTTACTTGTTTGTTAGAACACAGAAGATTATATTTGGATGTGCATGTTTTGCTTTATTTTTAAACTAGACATAAAAGATGGTCAGCAAAATCAGAAGATTGTCAGCTGCTTACACCTGAGGTAATAGTACAGTGTGTTACCGTGATGCAAAGCATGTGCCTATATAAAATAAACACATGTACAAAAAGACGAATTGCATGGTGTGGCAGATCATTGTTGAGTGTGATTAAATTATAATCAACTAGTTGTACTAGAAATCCTTGTGTGGCACTGTAAGATAGGCACTGGACTGCTAACCACAAAGTCCCTC